AGTGAGAGTCAGCCCCTTCAGGAACTGTAGCCCAGTGAGAGTCAGCACCTTCAGGAACTGTATCCCAGTGAGCATCAGCGCCCTTAGGATGTTGGAGGATAGCAGTGAGCAGAAAGGGAGTGGAACAGGATGGTTGGAGAATGATGAAAGAGCAGGAAGGGCAGTGGCGAAAAGAATGACCCCCCCCCAACCCAGTGCACAGGCCATCCTGTCCACAACAAGTGCGTTTTCATCTGAATGGAAAGCACTCTGCAGCGATTCTGTGCAACAATAAGACAGGTTCAGAGTTACGTTCTGGGCAATATTCCCAAATCTGCGTAATCCCTGAACCAACACAAAGCAGTCATTTGATGGTCATGTTGTTTACCTTTGCTTTGCTGTTCACGCTGTTCTCATTTGGAGGGAAAACAGCTTTCTGTTTGTTTATGTGGGGCCAGGGCTCAAATTGTTTCAAGGCTCCTTCTCACCACATTGGAGTTTGATCACTTTGCAAAGGAAAGGACCAACTTTCATTTCTCTAGTGCCTTTCACATCCAATTGTGTCCCAAAGCACTTCACAGCATAGAATAGAATCTCCTTTATTGTTACTTGTGCTACAGTACAGAAGTATAGGAGCACAGTCAAAAGTTTTTACAATGGCTGGCTTTTAATGATGCCATCTTAGGTACAGGTATCTAGGTGCAAATCTTACAGAGTGAAAAAGTACTGTGTTCTTATACAAAGAGGATTTATGGAAAGTATAAGCATTACTTACGGAGGTAGTTACAACATAGTGAAAAGGTTTTAAATTACAGTCCAATAACAGCAGCTCAGCATGTGGTACCAGCCCAATTGTCCTGCATTGCTGTAGCCTCAGTCCACTCCTTACCAGCCTTCAGCAGCAACCAGGTAAGTGGCACTGTACTGGGACTCATACCTTGGCCCCTCGGTCACTCTGGGGATGTGTGGTCACCGCTGGAGGAACCTGGTGGTCAGTGTCCCACAAGGTGCAATGTGATAACAAACAGATCCCAAAACTTGCATTTTCGACAGGGACATGAGGGAGGAATATTGGCTCCAGGACCTCAAAGTTGAGGAGAAACCTTTTGAGGTTTACAAAATGATGAGGAGTATAGATAAAGGGGAATGGCAGGTGTCTTTTTCCCGAGGATGGGGGAATTCAAGACTAGGGGGCATATTTTTAAGGTGAGGGGAGAAAGATTTAAAAAGTCATGAAGGGCAATTTTTTTTTCACAGTGGGCGGTTTGTGTGTGGAATGAACTTCCAGAGGAAGTGGTGGGTGTGGGTACAGTTATAACGTTTAAAAGACATTTGGATAAGTACATGAATAGGAAGGTTTGGAGGGATATGGGCCAGGAGCAGGCGGGTGGGACTAGTTTAGTTTGGGATTATGGTCGGCATGGACTGGTTGGGCCGAAGGGTCTGTTTCCATGCTGTATGACTCTGACAAACACACGCTGACCTTCTCTTAATCCCACCATACAGCTACGTGACAACAAGGTGCAGGGCTGGATGAACACAGCAGGCCAAGCAGCATCATAGGAGCAGAGAGGCTGACGTTTCGGGCCTAGACCCTTCATCAGA